AATAACGAAAAAAAAAAAAAAAAAAAGTAACAACCGTAGAATCGCGTTAAACTATATGAAACATACAATTTTGGCCCTCGCCAACCGCCCTCCCACCGTCCACCGGCTCGTGCTCCGGAATCGGCCATATTATCCTTCAACGATTATGTAAACGCGTCGACGGTCGCACGAAAACCGTAAAGAGTATTTTAGATTTCACATTGTATTCAATTTCAGTTTCAGTTTGATTTTATTTTCCTTCTTCGTCGATCTACTAATTTAGCATAACGACATTGCAATATTATTACCCATACCGTATACCTGTACGTCAATGACTATGTTGTGTGTAATGTTTTTTTGTTTTTGCTCCTCCGCAGATCTGATACTGTATTTGTTGAATCTCATCGTCGATAATATACATAACCGTTATTAACAAAACAATAATTTTACACTGTGTTATTCGATTTTTTTTTTTCACCTTCTCTAATTGACTACCGACCTATACCCGATACCTGAATGTCCTGAACCGGCCCCGCGGTCCTAGAGGATCGCGAGTCGCTGTCGTCGCGGTCTCGGGTTGTGTGCCGGCGCCTGAGAAATAATCACGGACGACGATAATACTACACGTATTTATGTTTGTGTGTTTAATAAGTGAAGACACATGATAATATAATACACTCAAATTTAAGCGAAATTCGATGAGCAGTACAAAAAAATGTCATCGGCGAAAATCCAGGTAAACCAGTGACACAGGGCCGGACCCTACCCAGTCCAGTACTTACATTTTATGTACGAAGGGTTACCTTGTAGGGTTCGCCGGCAACGCAGTGGCGCGAATCGGCCCGTGGTAACGTAGCACTCGCGGTACCGACGAATTTGTCGAAAATGTTTGAAAGTACCCGATTAGCCATACCCATCAATTCTATTTTCAAAAGTAAACGTTACTTTAATAGGGGGAAAAAAAAATTGTCATTTTCGTTACGACGTGATTTTATGGCCGGGCAGGAGCATAGGTACCGTCATGCGTGACAACGCACACACAAATGTTGAAAGGATTAGGTGCTTACGTCGCGATAAATCACGCGAATCAGATCCGCTGACATCCTTTAGTTCGCTCGTAGCTGAGCAGTATAGTGTTTAGCAACTAATGAAAAATTAGATTCTATACACATTTACCGGTACTAATTTTCGATGTTTGTAAAAAAAAAAAAACCATCTCTAGAAATGGACAATTGATCAAACGTTTCACTGTTCCGTCAGCCAGAAATTCAGACCAGTTCGCGTCACTGCGCAAAACGTATTGAATTTCATCGCACACGAAGCGCAGAGGGAAATTTAACCTGGGTGAATATTCGTGGCCGGATCCGGGGTAGCGAAAATGCGAGGATTTATCCCCGGACGTATAATTTCCCGGGGGCGTATTTTTCTCGGGGTTTCGTAAAACCCTGATTAAATTGAAAATACATCGTAAGCGCGCGAAATAATATTTTAAAAGAAACGTATTTTTGTCGCTACTCGTGGATACCGAATAACGGCCACGTAATAACAATAATGATATGCTGTTTTATTTTTAACCGCAACAGCATTGATTTTTTATATTGCGGACAGACAGATGGCGCGGCGCGGGAAAACCCATCCGCCACTGTCGGCGGGTGTGTACACTGTCACAGATAGCTGAACGAAGGGGGAGCTGAGCTTGTGGCGACCGCGCGGTGACCGTCCGCCTTTCTAATGGTAAAATATTTACTCAAATAAACGGGAAATTAAAATGTCATTTAAATTTATTGTGAAATAAAAATATTCGCGGGGTCGCGTGTGTCCGTGATCGCGTCGTGTGTCCGTTTCGAACGTTCCGAGCGAAATTCAACGCGTGACGCACATCCCATACAGGCGAATAAAAATAACAACAATACGTATATTTCGTTCGGCCGTAAAAACAGTTAGTAGCAACGGCGTCCGACAATAATACGTAAAATATCCGCCAAAAATATTCACAAAATTGAATTGTACATTTTTCACGTGGTTCATCATATTACGTTGTATTTCTTGATAAATAGAAATAAGTTGAGCTTATTAGGTACAGCGATTTTGTTTGAAAAAACATATTCACATTATTGTTGAATACCTTCAACTGTATATATATATATATGAATAAGTATATTTATAAGTATGCATCGTTGACGTGAAAAAACTCCTATAGATTTTAAGATTTTGGTATTCCTGGATTAAAAAAAAAAAAAACATAACGTATCATATGAGAATATTTTCATGAAAGAATTAATGAAAAATAAGAAACAAAACCTCTTATGTTTTACTCTGAATCGTTTGTGAAATACCTCCTACGTAACATTGTAAACCTCCTGTTTGACGTTTAAAAACTTCCTATGCGATATTGGTACACAATTTTAACTAACGAAATCTCTTATATGATGAAATATTGACACAATTTATACAATATAAAATTATCCATAACTATTATGTCTTTTAGTTCAATTTTTTTCAGAACAAATAGTTTTTTGGTTAAAATGTATTTTGGTCAACCATTGACGTTTTTTGGGTTTTTTTTTTAACGTTTTTTTATTTCCTATAAAGTCAGATTTTAGCACATAATAGAGTTTTTCATGTCAACGTCAAAATTATGTAGCAGCTACATTTTAGCTTCATGAACCCTACTTTTTAGTATTGTATTAGTATTAAAATCAATCAAAACATTTCCAAAAATCAACACACGAATAGATGTTTTATTCGGATCTTTAACAAAGTTTAATAACAAAGGCATAAGAAGGTGCCACAAAAATTAATCAAATAAAAAATAATAATAAGAACATAATTGTACGTTTGAATGTAGTAGAAAAGGTATACAAAAAAAATGTAACAAACAAAGTAATCAAATACAAAAACAGTAATAAAAAAGAATAACAAAATATGGGTTCTCATGATTTAAATCTTCGTTTAACGTTTGGCAAAAATAAACTTTGGTATTAAAAAGAAATAAAAAAAATGTAACAAAGTAATCAAATAAACAAACAATAATTTAAAGAAAAATAACGTAAAAAGGTTATTTTACAAATACTCATAGTTATAAGCGTATGACGGCAGGACAATAGGCTTCTTTTTTTGCATGGTGTTTATCCGCGGCTTGTCGATCATATTCTGAAAATATAAGTAGGTACATTAAATATTGCGTACGTTTGGTTATAATAATATCGATTGTGAGACAATTTGTATAGTTTCACTAACACAAAATGGTTACTTATCAATTGATAAATTATTTTGTTTTGACATTTTATTACTTATTGTTAGCTACCTATTCCTACGGCATGTTTGGTGTGTGGTATATAATATCGTAAAAATTCACCAGAACCAACGCCTGCAGTCTCCTGAGATGCATATTTTGCAGTAGCAAAGTATAATATATTAGTACGTGATTATCACGAGAATCATTTCGCCGTACCAAAATCTCAGATTTCTTCTACAATTCACGTGTTGCCTACCACCATATTTTAAGTACATCATGTGGTGGTAGTGATCGTTAAGTAATTCTTATCTGAGTTTTGTAAATACCGCGACTTTCTGATACGAAAATGATGTTTCGCGATACTTATTGGCTATTCCGTTGCCTACTATATTATTATTTGCTATATTGTTTAATCCGCGAATCGAATATTAATTCGATTTAATATTCTTAGAAATTGTATAAGTATAAAATAATACATTAACAGTTATTATTATTATTATTATTTTTTTTTTTTTTTGAACTTACCTTGATTAGATGTGAATACTCCTTCGGTAAATCTTGGTTTAATTGTTTAAACGCGGATCGGGCGAAGGTTAAATATTTAATGTCATAATTTTCTAAATGGTTTAAGACCATTCTGGCACTCGGCTTCCAATCGTCTGGTAAATTGCTAAAAGAACACATATTATGCAATCTAACTTATAAGTGTAATTATTTATACTAAAACCTTAGAAAATCACTTACAGTCTCATTCCTAGGACTATAAAACCTCCATAAAGTTTCCCGACAATATCCATTTCCGAAACGCCAATGCGATACCACCAAATCAACTGATCATGCAAGTGGCAATAAATACGCCTATACATTTGCTACGAAATGTTTAAAAAACAATTACATTTTTTAAATTACATAACTATGATCACATTGTAACATATACATTTTTTTTTTTTTTTATGATAAATTATTAAATATTGGTAATAAATAAATAGTGAAAATGAAAATAATTGTAACAAAATGAAAAAAAAATAAATACATACAACTAATATCAAAAATATTATTACCTCTCCCATATTTAAATCAAATAAAATAAATTGAAAATATTTTATAGATTTCTCGACGGGTTGGTCCCCTCTAATTGTCAAATTGACAACTCGAATTATGCTCTCCATGCAGGATTCGTCTACATAAAATCAACAATAATTTATTAGGAGGCAGGTAGGTGTTTGTCATTGTTTTTATACGGAAGTCTATCTTAGAATGTATATTTACCGATATTTTGGGTAGCATTATCTCCTGACTGTGAACACCAAACGTATAGGGGGAATGACGGGGAAATAAGGTCAGCCATCAAAGTAGTCGAAACTTGATCACAAACTTGATTACCGGAAGAATCCGCTGACTCGGGTTCTCCGACATCCGGATCCTCATTTCTGCCCGTCTTACACTCTTCCCTTATTATAACTTGACAAATGTTTCTGTAATTAAATTTAAAACTCATCGATCTAGTATATATTGTAATAATTTCTAACACACTTAAAATATAATCATATGTGTAATTTGTAAGGACACAAATCGAACAGGTATTAAACCTCGGACTAAAAAGATCGAACTTTCCGTTTAGAAACATGTATAAGTTTTCATTATTATATTATAAATTAAATTTATGATTTTTTCTCTCGTGTAACACAGAAGGATATTAGACAAAAAAAAAACAATATACATTTTTGTATTTTATAACATATATTTTAATGGCGCTATTTTATTTCGGGGTAATATCATTACTAACCGTTCATTTCTTGTCAAATCATCGAAATTTCGAATTGTAGTTTACTTGTATAAATAAGGTTTGAAGGCAACGGTCTTGCCAGTGACAAATTTCACGCACGTGGATTATTTTACGACACTCGAATTAAAAAATGTAACAAAACGAAAACAGTACAGTTTTCTTCTCACATGCACAAAAAATAGAATCCAGGAGTATGCAGGAAAAAGAAAAATCGCAATATCCGTATTTTAAGGAATAAAACGTATGTGCGGCCGCCCGGTCATCGGTGGTCGAATTTCTAAAAATCCTTTATAGTTTCTAGAACATATAGTCTACAGTTGCCTATATATTATCGTTGTACGAAATATAATAAACTTCCGTGCTGAATTTCGAGTTTCTAGGCCCCGCGGCGGTTCGGGTCGAGCGATGATGGAAACGGTCATTAGGTACCGACTAAAAACGTATATTGTGTACGCAGATAGTTAACATAGAAAAAAAATATCCGTACAATGTCGGCTTTATCTGCATTTAGCAGTAACGTCGGATTACGTTTGGCGAATTATTGCACGCGCCGTTCGTCAGCGATTAAAACCGTAGGTACCTACGCCGGGCTACTGAAATCCGAATAAAAATTTAGCCCAGTCGCGGACACGGGACAGGGTATTGTTCACGTATATTTCTCATAGGAAAACAGCCGGCGAGTGACGGCAAAGGCGGACCACGGTCGTCGGCTTTATTCGCCGACGAGTAACGATGGCGAGGCGCGATTCTCCGTCGGCACAGACTCGCCCGATGTATGACACCGATTACTCGTTTTAGAACGGACAAAAAACAACATAAAACGGCTTTTCGCATATACGCGCGTACCTTATTTGAACGATTGCGTCCCATACTAAGACGGCAATGTCCGTATTCGCTTCGCTTAGCCAACACAGTAGCAGTAACATCACGACCGCCGTGAAAAGCATTCCCTCCATTAGCGACACCACGGTGAACATCGTGTTGATCGTGGTACTGGATGATATACGAAGACGATGACGCGCACGAATGTGCAGGAGAATCAAAAAGCTAAAAACGAAAACCATACTATTAGGTATATTGAACTTTAAATTTGATATTCTTAATTAATATTATTCTTACGTTTTTTGTTCGGATCGCACACTAAGGTTGTTTACTCGGTTGCCGGGCCCTCGTTAACTTTTCCGGCGGCCGTATCCACGGAGCAACAGTTGATTTGTTTGTGTATTTAGCTAGCCAACGGGTTTTCCGATAGAATTATTTCGAACCGGCAATAGCCGGTTATTTCTGTTATTTCTGCAAGAACGGTCGTCGCCACGGCGACCGGCGTTATAAATATTTTATATTATCGTTTTGACGAACGTCCGGCGTTCCGCGGACTTAAACTCAAAACGCGGACACTTTTGATGTTACGTTTTAGGTATCTATCAATCATTCGCATTATAACAGCGTATTTAGTATTTATAAATACGTTCGTGTGTTTAAAATTAGACTAGAACATAAATGCGAAATGCGATAGTTTCGAGTTTAATATAATCGTTTTTCGTTATAAAAAAAAAAAAAAAAAAAAAAAAAAAAAAATAAGAAAAATAACTTCCGTAGCTGACAGACAAAATACCATAAATACCTACAGTTCAAAAATATAAAAATCGTGTTAAACAGTTCATCATAATGTATATGTAGGCACCTATAACATAATGTATATGTATATTAATATAGTTTTAGGTACAAGCAGTGGTGCTCGGAGATTTTTCAAAAGCCAGTGCAAATTATAATATTTGTTAACAGTCGCCCATGCCAGTGGTGTATTTTCATTGAAAATCCAAAATCAATACTGCTGTTACATCACGTGTATTCCGTTTTTTAGTCTGCACCACGAATTAAGTTATACAGGGTACCGAACGAACGTGTGATAAGTAATGCTCGAACTTGTACCAAATTTTTCTTAAAGCGGTAGCTGTCATACCAAATAGTGATAACCGGGCGGACTCAGAAAAACATTGATAAGACCTTTCCGGTCGGTATCCAGTAAATCTTAATTCGTGGTCTGCACTATACCTCACTACCGTAGGTACAACAGAGCCCACCGACAAAACACTAGCGTACACTATCGTTACGATACTATTATATAGGCAATCTATTATAAGCTATACGAAAGTTTAATATTATAGGTACGGTTTACCTATACGTATTTTTAACTTAATAAAATAAACAACATATCGGTATCGTATGGATATTATTATTTTTAATTTCATTATTGCGTGCTCTTCGTTTGGAATATACGTAACTGAACGGTAATTTTCGACGTTTTCGAATTTCAAATTTACGTCTGAATACACATCATCCGGAGACAGATCCGAGGGACTCTCATAGGGATCCTAGGTGGAGACCTAGGAGCCTAGGCTCCTCCCACCCGGACTTAATATTTCTCCGATTTTTTTTAAAATTCTATAAGTCCTGATATTATTATGTTTCAATTACAGATATGCGTATGCTAATATATTATACATATCTGTGGAATATATGATTCCAATGTTGTAATTTCGTTTTTACGCGTTAAAAGAAGAATCAAATACTACTTAAGATTTGTTAATAAATAATACACACATGTTATTATTACCAATAATTATTTTTCTTAAACTTGAAACTTAGAAATATTGACCACAGATTTTAGTTTCAAATACACCATTACGAAGTACTTCTAAAATTATCGCTTGTTAAGTACAAAGTTTTCGATTTACAAGTTAAAATCGTTTAAATTATTTGTCGTAAATAATTTATTGGTCCTATATGTTGCGAGTGGTTCTATAAATAATTGGTAACACTATTGTGTAAGTGTGCTTGATTTTTCGTAAAAAAATAATATACTAACTGATCATTTCCCTGAAATGGGCGGAACTTTTTCAATTTCCCGGGTGTTAAAATGTTAATATCCGGCCCTGTTTATATTACCGGCACTTGTATGCGCGTATTTAAAAACCCGTTTTTCTTCGTTAAAACGCGCCGTAGGCTTAATATACGTATAAACATTTAAATTAAAGACTGTACAAAATTAAAATTAAAAAAAAAAAACAAAAATGGAAACGCTGATTATGCCAGTTATTGAACTGCAGGTGCCAAGTAATGTATACGATCGATAATAATGTATTTTCAGATACTGTAGCGAAGAAGGACTACAGTCAAATTTTCAGTAATGTAACAATAATTTTAGCTTTCCGCGTGCGTTCTACAAAACCGTCCTTTTACCATTTTCAACGAAACTCATACTTCAGTACTATATCTACTTGATACTACTACCATTACTGCAAAGTCGAAATCGCTTTGCATTTCCAATTAATTCGGTTAATATCGTTGTATCGTTGTTTGAACGATAATTAAAATTCGAACAGTCGTCCAATTCCGGGACGTGCCTGTACCGGATTTATGATATTGTCGTTGGCGAGCGGAGTTCTTTTGACATTTCCAACGGGGTTTGGTACGAGGTAAGTAAATTATTATAGTTGATCATTATTTCAAAATGACGAAGGCAAGTATTAAAAAGAGCTAATACCGGGGACGGATAGTTGAGAATGTGGGATACATAAAGTTGTTTAATAATTTATACCTGTGACCAACGATGAACCATATTAGTATATTACTAACAAAATACGAGAACCTTGATTGGTTTGTTTACAATTATAATTCATTTTGTAGTGGCAAATCGATACAAGATTTAGAGTGTAACCAGGAATATTATTTGTGTGTATTGATTTTACATTGGTGCGATTATTATTTTCCATCTGAAAGGCTAAATTTTTACCAAAAATCTCGCTCAAATTAAAAGATAGCAAGATACTTTTTTTTGTTGCATTTTGGATTAAGTTTTTGGATTTTCCGAGCGGTTTTCATAATGATTGAGAATATTTACTGCGGCATTAATGACTTCTCCATTTAGAGTGACAAAATCATAATTGTGGGGAAATCGTTATCAAGTAGAGTTGAGTTATTGATAAATTCAAATCTGTTTCCACAATATTCTCGTCGCTACTCTAGACCATCAGTACGTCGGAATGAAAACGAACACGTCCAAATTCCCATGTCACGCATGTTGTTAAACAAAGAGGGAAAATCGTCGCTTTCGATCCCCTTAAATTTGTTATTTCCAAAATGACTAGAGACGACGGAATAGAGTTTGCACTTAGCAACTGCGCAACGGTCCGCGTCCGACGACGACGCGGTTAAAATATTCAGGTGGCCGCTGAATGAAATAAATAAACAAAAAATACTTTCGTCATTCGAACAAATTATTTACGAATTCGATCATTTTTTTTTTCGTTTTATCAACACGAATATATTATTACTATAGGTACCTATACTTACTTTATACGTACCATCATCATTTGATTATATTGGGATTCAGTTTACATTAGAATAATCACTTAAGGAATGTATATAATAATGTGCGATTTTATTTTAAAACCGTCATTGGGTAAATAATCGTTACGTTAAACGCGATTTCTTTAACGACATCAAAATTCCGATTTTTATCTTTATTTTTCTTTACGAGAAAAATATTACTTTAAATCCTGAAACGAACGTAGGAATACATTTTCTGAAAACCTCGTATATATTTTATTACCATAAATTGTATAATAATTTAATCATACTTCCTGGCGAATAAGAAATTTATTGATAGACTATGATAAAGCCAAATTATTCATTATTGTTTCTAAAGTTGGATTTAATGCACGATTTCTAAATAAGTTATTTTCGTAACTTTTTAATAGAACTCAAGAAATGAAAATATAATTTCATTATTCTAATGAATATCCAATTATCTTGAGTATTCCATAATGGTATCATTATTTATAGGACCTCTTCTTTTGTTAATATTTATTAATGGTCTTCTTGGTTTAGGTACTCATTGAGCATTTTAATGTTTGCCGATGATGTTGAAATTTACTGTCGAATTCAATATATTGAAGATCTAAATTTGTGGCATCCGATTTAAATATACTTGTATTTAGAAATCAAAGCAACCATCTTTATGTTATGATAATATATAAAATCATATTTTTTTTACGTAGTTTAAATCCTTTATTTCATAATTATTCTCTTGAAAAACGTTTTTCAATTACAGATTTGTTTTTAATTTGATTTCGTTATTCAAAAATAATTATACAATTATTATTAATATATCGTATAAGATGAATTTATAAACAGAAAGACTAAGGACTTTAGAAATCTTTCCTACTTATAAAATATGTATAGTTCTTTAGTTAGATCAAATCTGGAATTTGAATCATTATTTTGATTTAATAATTATTCAACTTAGATGATTTTAATAATGGTCCAATTGTTGAAAAGAATTACCAATATTACCCAGTGTGCTATTTCTAGAGATTCTTTCCATCATTCAGTTCAGGATTCTAGAGGTCTTGAATCTCTCAGACTTTATTCAATGGATATTATGTCTATTTATGACATTTTACATTTCATTGTACTTACACAGTAGTATATAGTAGGAATTCTGATTTATTTTTTATATTTAAATTTAAAAGTCATGATGGAAAACAACTTTTATTAGTTTTTGAAAAATTTCTATTAAACACTCCGCTCTTAGATTTGTTTGTGTTAATCTCGACATGTTTTTAAATCTAAAATCTAAAACGTTGTTATTTTTAAAATATGAAGTTAAATATTATTTTGTATTTGTATATATTATATTGTATTAATTTGTTATATTGTTTTTATGTTTTTTTAAAAAAAATATTATCTCTATATCTCAGTTTAACTAAAAAAAACCGAATAAGAAAACTATACGTATACTTATATAGGTTAATACAATAATATATATTGTGTATGCAAAACAAATTGCAAAACAAAATGGTATAAATATATAAAAAGAAAAAAACAAAGCCTGGAGTAGGTATTAGGTACCTAATAAAGGTAGAGTGCAAATACGACCGGTTTCGATTTAAAAAATCATAATCTGGTTACAACCTGCGTATACAGCATATCGTTGCGTACAAATTTTTCGCCTTTGCTCTTCTATAACCTGGTTATGATTTTTTTTTTTTTTTAAATCGAAAATGATCGTATTTACATACAACTTTTATAATAATCCGGGCTTTTATTTTTTTATATTTATATTTTTGTTTACATTATATATTCATTTTTTGTGTACATAATATATTTGATACGTTATTGGGTATTGATTTAAATCAAATTTTGTTTTTTTCTAATATTTTTCCCTCTATTGTCACATTGCAATAATTCTTACAAAAAACGAATTTGAAATTAATGAACGCTGATATTTCAATAAGACCCAATTTCTCCAAAGCCCCCTCTAGATTGAACTAATTATATGATGAATTCATAAAAAAAAAAAAAAAAACTATTTAAATAATAGAAACGTATATTTTAATTTAATAGTCTTGTATGTTTACATAATTTTTAAGATTCATTGTCGGTCGACTGTTACATCTGTTGTCTTTTTACCAACTTGTAATAACATCCTTGTAATTCGTGCAACTCTTCGTGAGTACCGAGTTCAATAATTTGTCCCCGACAAACAACAGCTATGACATCAGCCGATTGGACGGTAGACAAACGATGAGCGATCGTTATACACGTTCTACCTTTTCTAGCTTCGTCTAATGCTTCTTGTACGATCTAAAATCAATATTATGAAACTTCATTCTACTTAGTTATTTACTTGTTAACAAATTGCCCGGTTATAAATGTTGTAAACGAGAAACGCAAAATATGTATTTGTAGGTCTAAAATATACGGGATAAAAATATGAAGAAAAAACGTTCTTTTTCTGTATTTTTTCAATTATTAAAAAAAAATACAAAGAAAATCAAAAAACGACTTTCTTGGTTACCAACTAGATTAAAAATTCAACAAAAAGGTTTCTCGTCGTTTTTCTATCGGAGCAATTTTTTTTTTGTTTTCTACAAAAATTTCAAAAATATTTGCCGTTTCACTTAAAATTTTCTTTCGGGTTTTCTCCTAATTGTTTTGAAAACCCTTTAGAAAATCAATAAATAAACTCTCCAATGTACCAGCTAAATAAAATTACCTTTCAGAAAAGGTATGCTACACTCCAAATCTAAAAATAGGCAGCACCAAAATAATAGTATGCCTACGTACTTTGAGAATTTTAAAAATTTCAAATATTTAGTTTCTAAATATTTGATTTTTTAATGTTTCTATACATGTACGAGTAAAAATACTATATTATAATATCTGATATAGGTTACCAAATTCTTTCAAAATTGTCTACGGAATTACAATCTATCGCTTGAAATATATTTAGAAACCGGGAACCTAGCACGCTCGCTGAGTGTACTTTGATAATTTGTTTTTATTTTTTCCTAAGTTTTTGCTGAATTGATTTATTTATTTGAAATATGAATATTTTAACCTTTTAGTGAATTCAAAACATTGTTCGTGTATTACGGGTATCTTACTTGTTCGCTTTCAGTGTCTAATGCCGATGTGGCTTCGTCCAATAAAAGTATTTTAGGATTTCTTATTAACGCTCTGGCTATGGCGATTCTTTGTTTTTGACCACCGGAAAGCTGCGTACCTCTATCGCCGGCTGGCGTGTCGTATCCCTAAATAATCGATTTACAGTTATGTTTCATCATATTAATACTCATATCGGAAAAGTTTGTTTGATTATATACTTTTGGTAAACTCATTATAAACGTATGCGCATTGGCTTTTTTGGCAGCTTCAACGATCGCATCGAACGGCACGTCGTTTTTATCATTTACACCGTAACTGATATTTTCTTTGATTGAACAGTCGAATAAAACGGGTTCTTGGGTGACTAAACCGATGTTTTTGCGTAAATGGTTAATATTTATACTCTGAATATCGCAATCGTCTACTTCCTAAAAATACAATTTTTTTTTTTTTTTTATTCTAACCGAATCATTATATTTGTTGTTTGAAATTGATCACATAATAAAGAACACTTACAATCAATCCGCAAATAGGATTATAAAATCGCTCGATAAGTGAGATAACTGTGCTCTTTCCACAACCGGATTCCCCGACTAATGCCAATGTTTTTCCCGGTTCGACGGTGAAATTCATGTTGTTCAAAATTTTATTTGACTTTCTCGTGGGATACGAAAAATGGACGCCTTTAAACGTTATTTTACCCGTTATCTCCTGTAAATACCATTAACGACCAAATTAACTACTTCGTGTTTAGAAGCGAAAAAAACAACAACAAATAAACGAATAGTATAGATACAGGCTTGTCTCCTTCCTTCGATTGGCTGTCGATTTCCGTCGGTTTTTCAATTAGTTGAAATATGAGAGAGGCGGAATGTTTTGCTTTAGCATAGTCTTGAAGAAAAGCCATTGTGTGACCAACGGAGTGGGCGGAGAAGGACAACGCGAAAAAAACTCTACAAATAAAAGTTTAATTAAATTGTTTGCACGACAAAAATAAATGTTGTTTTGTCAAACGAACCTGTAAACCGCGGAAGGGGTCATTTCTCCTTGAAGTACCAAATAAGATCCGTACTTAAAAGCAACCGAATAAAGTACGTACGTGATGGATTGTGACAGAGCAAATAACGCCGCGTACATGTAAACTTGTTTTTTCGCTTCTCTATTAGAAAATTTAATTTAATTTAAACCCTCCAAACGCGCTCGCGCGCGAGTTGTTGTTAATAATTATTTACTTGTTTGGAATTTTTAGGCTTTTTCGATAAAGATCGCTAAATTTATTCTCTTTTCCCAGGGACTGTACCGTGCGCACGTTCTGTACACTTTCGGTTGCTATCTGAAATTATAATTTTTTTTAAATATCATACGCAATGCACGTTGTTCACGTATATTTTTATATAGTTGTTTATGATGATCTTATACCCTGCCCGCTTCATCCATGAATTTTGCGTCCCTCCGCTGGTTTTTTCTAAGACCCATTTGTTGTTGGTATCCGGCACCGATAATCAGAGGTACAGCAAGTGCCAATACAATGGCCAATTTCCATCCGTAAATAAACGCAATGATCACTGCCGTGGTGAGAGTAACGACAGCCGACATCACTTGACCTGCACGCATTCCCCCGGCCTAAATACGATACGAAAATGATCAACTGTAATCGTAATCAGAATTCAGGAATTCAGTACTTAAAATCTTTGAAATAAATGCTTAAACAAATGAAAACCCCCGTTGTAAGCAGATACATTAAAAATATTAAAACTTGCAACAAAAGATAATATTAAAATCGTTGTTCCACTAAAAAAAAAAAATTAGAGTCATCGATGATAGCAAGTGATAACACCGAGAAAAACAAATTTTCGGTGGCTGAACCACCTGTCGCAAAGTAAAAAAAATTAACTGCAAGTTGAATGCATATTTTTAGAAAAACTTTCGAAATAAGTAAAAATATAAACACTTTTAATATTGTTGTAGCGCTTAGTAGAATCACGGTCATTCATTCCCATAACACTCTGCTAGATTTAGAGTAGATTAGGCTTCAAGTTTCTGTAAGACATCAAATTCTGGTTATAAAAGCGAAAAATATAGGTACTGACCGCTTTCACTACAGGCGCGTCTCTGGCCAATTTTGTTGTCAGACATCCCGGGCTCGAGTCTTTGTTGTCGAACCATCCGACCGCCTGTCTGAGTATGTTGGTGAAGGCCATCGCCCGCAGGCGCATCATCAGCTTTTCAGAGGCATACGTCAGGAACCACGTCTACAACCACGATAATTTTATGCTCGTCCGTTAAAAATACTAAATGAAGCTGTCAACCGTGTATTCTTATACATACCTGACACACTATGGCCAAACCGGACGCTATTCCCAGCAAAACGAACATGAACGACCAAAACCGTGCTTCCCGTTCTAACGCTTCGCCTTGGAGCGTCAAAGACTAAGTAAGACGAAGTAATAATTATTATATATTGCTTTTTTTTATATTTAGTTTCGATATATCCTACCTCAAACACTTGTCCGTAGAAATACGCGTAAATCGGAACCAATCCGCCGTTCACTATACAACCGATACAGCCGAGTAATAAATGGATCCATTCCGGTGAATTAACTTTCATGAGTTTCCACATGCAGTACTTTGAACTTTTTTTCTAAAAAAAAAATGTCAATCTATACCAATGCGTCTACATATACATGTGCATTGCATTTTGAAAACAGCCGTATGATGTTTAATGGCATTACGTAAAGTGATGTAATAATGGCCCGTGTATATGTTTACCGTGTAATTATTATGAAGTTTCGGTACGCTCGTTTTTCTAGTTTTAGTAAGCTTTTGTAATTCCTCGGAACATTTAGTCTTTAAAAAATGTATAATATAAATTAATGAATGATTATCCGTTATTACAGTTTTTACAATGGTATGATTGATTAGTACGACTGATATAATGATTGAAATATACGTGGTGGAATGATTAAAAGCTTTATAAACAAGTTTATATCATGTGATAATAATTCTATACTTAATAATATGTTCTTACGTGTTCTTCCAGTTCGCCGTCGTCTTCACACAACGATGAAACGTCAAATATTTCATTATCGTTTACAGAATTAGCGCCGTCGCCCTGTCTTGAATTTGAATTTCAATGTAATTAATAATTCAATGTAATATGGGTACCTACATATTGCATATACTTTCAATAAATTAACTTACAGGTTGCTTATTTTGTGTCGGTCATTATCACACACTTTGATTTGCGTCAACACTAAATTATGATACAGACCTTTCTTTTCCATCAATTCGTCGTGTGTTCCAGATTCGTATATTTTACCGTTCTAAAAAAAAAAAAAAAACCCAAACAACAAATTATCTTCAAGAATTTGTATCCAATTTAATATAGGTACCTTCATGGCGTGTATAACATCCGCATTTCTAATGGTTGAAAGTCGATGAGCTATAATAATAGTCGTTCTCCCTTTCATCACTCGATCCAACGCTTCTTGAACGATTCCCTCGTTTTGAGAATCCAACGCCGACGTGGCTTCGTCCAGCAAGAGGATTTTAGGATTTCGTACCAGTGCTCTTGCGATCGCGATTCGTTGCTTTTGCCCCCCAGAAAGTTGACAACCTCTATCGCCGACATACGTATTATAACCCTTAAATAATTAAAGACACTTTATTTTATGACAATTATACTAGGTTATAATATAAATAATATTTCTAATTTTTGTTTGCGGTTGTAAAAAGCCAAAAATTCATTACGTTTGGTAGTTCTTTGATGAAATCGTGGGCGCTAGCTTGGACAGCAGCTCCGATAAGTTCTTCGTTCGTGATATCTTCGCGCCCGTATCGTATATTATCGGCGATCGATACACCAAAAAGAATGGGCTCTTGAGATACGATACCGATTTGATCTCGAAGCCAATGAACGTTTAAACTGGACAGTTTAGTCGAATCTAAATAAATCTGAACATTTCGTAGGTTAAAGAAAGACCAGTGGCGTAAATCATTGAAAATAATGTGTCACTCACTTCTCCAGCTTCTGGATCGTAAAAACGCAAAAGTAACCCGACAATAGTGCTTTTTCCGGCGCCACTCGAACCTACTAGTGCTACTGTTTGACCGGGTTCGATCGTCAAATTTAAATTATCGAGTACCTGAAATGTGCGATATATTTAGTTAGGTGAATATCGGTTGAATTTATTGCTGGTGTACATAATATTTTACTCACTTTGGTCTCGGGTCTAGACGGGTATCTGAAATCAACGTTTTTCACATTGATTTTACCGACAAACGTCTTCGGTTTCAGTCCTGCATTCGAGTACGAATCGATTTTCGGAACTCTATCGATGATGCCGTACAGATTTTTCGCCACCCCGATAGCCGTACTCACGGAATTTAAATACGGTAATGCGCTACCTATTGAAAACGCCCCGGCCATGACACTAAAGAAAACCTATACACGAGCCACAGGTTTAATGGGTTGTATAGTTATTTTTTACGGTACTTACTGTAAAAACTGTGCCTGGAGTAGCTTCTCCCTTTAAAACCAAACAGGCGCCGTAGTAAAACGCCACGCCATAACCGATATACATCAACATGAACACGGTGCCGAGTCCTATTGAAAAAATCCTGTATCTTTTTGTCGCGATATTACGTCCTTCTTTCAACGCAGCGACATATCTGGGGGAAAAAAACCGTTGATATTATTGCGAAACACTCATATCATTCGCTATAACCCACCTAGAGATGCCTTGTTTTTCCAATCCGAACGCAGCTACCGTTCTAATGGCCGTGAACACTTCTTCGGCAATCGATCCGGCTATCGAATATTTAATTTGTTCCAAACAACAGGCTTTGGACGCGTACTGCAACGGAAAATATAACGAATTATTCGTAAAATATTTTTTAATTTGCACGTATCTATTTTCATAAAATCAATGACGTTATGCAAACATACAACTTCTTACCAAACTGAGAAAAGCCGTAATGCCGATGATTATCGGCCCGACCAAAAGCAAGAGACCCGTTAGTTTAGGGCTGATATAGAAACCGACCAGCAGACCGGACACGAACGTAGAAATGTACTGAGTGAGCAAACTAAACTTGCTACTTATACCTTCTCGGACGCGTTCTAGATCGCTAACAGTTTGCAATAAAATATTGAACGTTGACAAATATATTATATTATTAGTATATAGCGTGATTATATACAACGTGGAAAACATACTCGAACAGTTTTGTCGTTAGATCGCTGCTTTGATTGGTGTCGAACCAAGTTATGTCTTGCCTAATAATCTGCGTGAAAAAAACATTACGAAGTCGGTAGATTTGTCTTTCGCACGCCATCTCCCAGCACCAGGTCTACAATATTATTATAGGTATACAAACTTTCCATTATAGTAATTCGAAATGAATTGTTTTGTTTCCCACCTGTACAAAAGCAGCACATAATACAACGATACCGATGTACAAATAGAACAACGAAAACTGTGTCATGTATGAATCAAATTCGTCGGGAGTGAGTGGCGGAATCGGTGAAGATTCTGTGAATATCCTTCAAAAAAAAAAAAAAAAAATAGAATTTATACGAAATAAACAATATGCCGATAACATAAACTTAAATAAGACTGCAGGACTGTTGCTTTCATCTAGAATATTACAACCCTGTAATTTATTGCTATTTATTACAGTTTTTAATTAAACTTTTCGAGTGAGTTTAGTGTATTCAAAAGTATACAGGGTTTTGTGAAATAAAATTGAGTAAACATAAAAAAAAAAATGAATGATATTTAAATATTTAAAAAATATATTAAATATTTTATAGTACATATGGATTAACCAGAATAACAAAATATTGTCTAATATCATACCTATGAAATTAAAAATAAAATCAGAATTTACATTTAAACATTCCCAAAGAAAAAATCTTAAATATAAAAAATAAAACAATTTCATACTCGCTAGATGTCAAGTTGTGTAATTCGTACACCGCCGGTTTTGAGATCATGACTGGATTTTGCTGCAAGATATACATACGTATGGGGGCTTAATAATTTCCGATTATTTTTGTTATATATAAATACGTAAAATCGCAAACAATAGACATAATAATATAACTACTCGTATTTTGAATAAAAAAAAAAAAATCATAATTAATAACGTATTTTAACTCGTATTGTCGAATAGATATATAGTTATTTATTTTAGTACAGTTATTCGGTTTTTAAATGAATAATCTTAATTGACAGTCAATACCAGGTGATTCATTTAAATGGGTGAACTCATAACCTCGGAAAGTATTAAATTTTTCCGAAATTTGTTTTCCAAAATATTTAAGAAATAAATTGCTCTAGAATTTTATGTTTATGTTATTTTTTGTTGCTCTTATTTTTGGGGTTGAAACCACTAACTTTTTTTGATTGTCATGTGCAATCTATATTAAAAAGTCCATAAATAGATAGAGTATTGATTAAAACAAATTTTAGCGTTGAGACTTTTGATTTTCGTTGATTCGTTAACGAGATATTTCACTTTTAAGTTCTGGTTGAAGAAGAGTAGTGGAGGACCATTTGTATGTTGGTACGGCGAGCGGCGTGTTGATAATGCACTATCACGCTCCTCCAATCCAATCTTAAAAATGGAATATCTCGTCAACGGATCAACGGAAATCAAAAAATTCAACGCTAAAATTTGTTTTAATTAAGGTCCATTTATTTATAAACTTTTTAATTTAGGGTGCCAATTGAAAATCAAAAGTGGGTAGTGATTTTACCCCCAAAAATAAAGGTGACAAAATATAACATTAACATTAAATTGTAGAGCAGTTGTTTCTTAAATATTCTAGAAAACAAATTCTGAAAAAAGTTAGTACTTTCCGAGATAATCAATGTATTCACATTAAATGGATCAACCGGTATAAGTATACATATTTTGGTTTTAAAAAATGTTTCCGAGTAGTTATATTACTTACAGAAATACATATTATAATCGTAAAATATAATACCGCTGCGGTTTGTCTGATAAACGTATTGGTCATGGAACCGAAGAACATCGCCAGGATGGGTAAACTAGCGCCAGTAGCCAACGACATAACGATACCGACTATCATCAATATTTTGTCCCAAATGTCTGCGTACCGGAACTGTAAAACAGTAAAATTCATACGGAAAAATCCAAATAATAATCGGCGAATAGAATAAATTAATTTTTACTCGGTACATCATAGTAATACAAAATATATTTAACCGTTGTTACACTAATCGAGTATACCTATATAAGTGCAGTAACAACTCTACTCGGATACTGTTAGACTTTGTTAGAATTTGTCAAACAAATTTAAAAATGTTATTAAACATTAAAGATTTGTAGTACAAAGTACATGTCTCATATGTATGTAAAATAAAAAAAAAAAATCAAACAACATCTATGAGACTATGTTCGGTATTGTTAGACAATTGTAAGAATTTGTTAAATAAAAGTTTCAGAAATATTTTACTTTATATATTATTATAGTGCTGAGTCTTTACCTATACATATATAAAGTGAAATATTTCTGAAACTTTTATCTAACCATTGTCTAGAAATACCAAAGAATTTTTTTTTTCCCCCCCATATTGTGTAGTGCTGGACATGCACTTATTAGTACTATGCAAATCTTTAAAGATTAATAATTTTTTAAATTTTTTCTAACAAATTCTAACAATGACTAACAATCAGGGACGGATTAGGCTCAATCATAGTTCTAGGCATACATTTTTTAATAGAGTATTGTACAAATATCTAAGATTAACATTCTAAATGAATATCATAACCAATACTTTAGCTACACAATTATCTCATAACTCATATGTGATTAAAATTTTAAAATTCAAAACTATTATTTTACCTAATCCATTTTAATACGCTTGATTTCGGGATGCTATTGCATATTACTATAAATAAAATTCTCCCTGCCATTGCTCAGTCCTAGACACGTGCCTACCTCGCCTATAAGTTAATCTGGGCCTCCTAACAACTCCGAGTAGGGTTTGTTAGAAGGTTTCGTAAATTTGTGCTATGTTTGTAGTGTCAGCTTCACGTAGATGTACAGTAACGCTAAAATGCAATATAACAGTATAATAAATACTGTTTGTTTTTCGGTTGTTTGTTTCATTAAAAACTACGTTTAACGTTCTTCGTATAATTTTAGATTACGATCGTAATGGGTTTCGAAAGTTTTTAACGATTTGATTATGGTAGGTATAGCTGCGCAGACATCGAAAAAACGGGCCCCGTAGATATGAAAACGCCGCACAATACAATCTAACTTTTAAACTTTATGAGGCTACCGAAAACGTTTTCGTATACCTAAAAATTAGAAATAAATATAAATAAAACACGTGGTTATTATAATAATAAACCATACTCGAGCAAAACGAATATTTATAGGTATTAATTAACTGTGTACTCTTTGAACATCGTTGTCAAGGTTTGGACTTAATATAAATATTTTGTCCATTGTATATAGTCAAACTAGTTTTAATACATTTTACGTTTGACAATATCGTAAAAAAAAAAAGACAGACACACTTCGCACGATGGGTATATCGGGCCACTGATGTATGTGAGAAGTTGGAAAGGTAGGATACAGAGGGGAATTGAATGTATGTCTGTACGTAACGATTAATCATTGCTAACAAAAGATTATTCTGACCGGAGTTTGATAATACACGTTTTAAAAGGCCGTAATATTTACGATTTTCGTAAAAGTTTGATATTAAAATTCTTATAAAAAAAATCCTACATTATACTCAGTTTTTTCTTTTTTTTTGACCAGAAAGTATGAATTATAATAAATTTCCTACTAAATATTCATGCATTTCTGTTTGGTCTAACAATTTTATTCATAGAGTATCTATTGAATAAAAATTATGTATACATATCTATAAATAGCTCAAAAATGGCTAAAATATTTTTAAAATGTTTCCCATTGAAAAGGCAAATATAAGCGTTTGTTCAAATTTGAAGTCTCTAAGAATATTTTCACTGAATTACAACAAAAATATAAAATTTAAAATAATACATTTCGTAAATTTTCCCAATTTTTCACAATTATTATGAAAATAACTTCTTAGAAAATCAAAAAGTAATCTTTCTCACACTCTAAAATAGCACTCACATAAAATTTCGTTTCAAAAAACATGCTACATTTGAAAACGAAATCAAGATTTCCGGTAAAAAGTTTTTCACAGATAAAAGAATAAATAAAAAAATAAAGAGCATTGTAAAATAAATTCATTTCCCCTTCGCTCAGAATCTAAAAAATAATAATTGTACAAATAGAATGATTAATAATGGATTTTTATCCAATTTTCTCCAAAATTAGAGTCTATTGCAATGTATTATGTTATATAATATATTTTTTCCAGATTTAAGTGATAACATTTTGGCTGAGTTCAATGAAGATTTCACCGTGATATGGAGATGGGTGTGTTTTTTTAGCTTTGTAGAAGTTACAGTTTACCCTACCCAATGAAACCAAGATAATAAAATGTTGTACAAATATACATATTGCACGCGTATCATTGATGTGCCTTTTGGGAGTTTTAACTTTCAACCTCCTCCCTAATCATTTTTATGCTCAAATGTCATGTTTTCACAAGAAATACCTGGTAAGTAAGTAATGTATCATTGTTGTTGAGTTTATGCCTTTAGAATATTTGACTTTCAAACAACCTCGCCCTATGTCATCTACGGAATGAATGTTGGTAAAATTCCCGACGATTATACTTTACCTATTTTAATGAAACTTATTTTGAACCTTGATATATTTTAGAGAAAATGGTAGCTATTAAAAATCCAAAAAAAAAATTGTAAACAATTTAATAAAACTCTTGCAACCATAGATAAATTGAAATTTAAAAAAAAAATGAAATGTAGCGGCAACAATAATAGGTGACTCTCGGCTGCGAGAAAATTCGACTCATTTGACGGAATTCCATTGCTTATGGATGTTCAACGTTACAAACGTGCATACCTACTCGTATTTTTATCGTCAATTTGACAACGAGATGACATTTTAGTCGTAAAAGTTTTAGAGAGAGCGATTTTTAAAAACAGTTTTCAACGGTAGATATATATTCGTTACATTTTTTACCTAATACGAAGCTTATTATATTATACTAGTATATTACACAAAAGATAATATGATTTAATATTATTATTGTTATAGGTGCGATCGTTATTAACGTGCACAACCTTATTCGTCGGTGTATCGTTACAGATTGATGTCGAGTATATATTATGACCCTCTCGACAAGTATATTTCGGGATAACACTTCGAGTACCTATACCCTTCACGTTTATTACCCATTTGCCCAGTTATGTATATAGACGCCGAGACGATGATTTTTTTTTTTTTATTTTTTCTGTTTGTTTTTTCATTATACGATTACATATTAAATACTCATACATTTCAACCGTTTCGAGTTGAAGTAGTGACTGTTTTTTTTTTCTTTCTGTATGTGTTCGGTACGAGAAAATCATCGGTATACGAAAACAAAACGGTATTTTTTAAGAGGTAGGAACACCAAAATTTGTCCTAAGGCAATATTTCCGCGGTGAAAATTGTCTATTTTTTTGTATAGCAGTTTCATCTCTAAAATCGCTTTGAAGAAAACTTCTTTTCCATGCCACATTTGTAAAGGAACACCACGATTGTGCGATAAATACGATGCATTTTTTTCTATAAATTATCGTCGAAATTGGGTGTATATAATGTAATGTATGCAATTTCTATATATACGTTCACTTAAACTTTAATAATGTGTAGTATGACTTACGACGCGAAACAGTCCGAATTTCTCTTCGTCGGTACCTTTTTCGATTTTGCATTTCGTTTTGACGGTGGTCCTGAATAACAACAAAAAAAAAAAGAAATGAAAACCAGCCGTGACGTTTATTATTATAAATACGAGAGGTGAATTTGCATGGCGAAACGCTATATTATTGTGTTATAGTATTATGTAAAGAGCGCGACGTATTATAATAATATTGTTATTATACTTGTTCAGGTGCAGCGTGGAATTCGATAGGCCCGGGTTGATGGATGCGCTCACCATGATCGATGGCAACTCGGTCTCTTCGACGCATTCGTATTTCTATAACAAATGCAAAATCCTGTCCGTATACTGTTATTATTAAGCAAATTTTATAATCTATCTTTGGTCACGCCGTAAAACTTTCATTGTTAGCCGCTCGTGAATTTATACACATAATAATATTTTAGCCGGAACAAAATCGCGCCGTTCGATTTTATTGTTCCCCCACCCTCACTATTTCCCTCTCTCGGGATTCAAAAATACGAGTAGATACCCACTACTATCAGTATTGATATTATTATTTCAAAAAAAAATACACGGACACATTTTGCACAATGGGTGGACCGCTGTTGTAGTGAAAAGCTGATAAGAGGGGAAATTCAATGGATACGTAACTATTAACCATTTCTGGTAGAAAAGTTTTCAAAAAAAAAAAAAAAACATCGTTGTAAAATCATTCCTCGCTCCGATCAGAATCTAAAAAATAACACGTTTAAACTCAATACTGAACGAATTATGCGGTTTTTTTTTTTTTTTTTGTTGAAACAAAGAAGGTTTGTTCAAAATGATGAAACAATTAATAGGCATATAATACATATTATTATATTAAACGAAAATAATGATTAAAAAACATTAACCCGACTGCGCCTATCTTTACTCTCCGCGATAATATACGATTAAGGCGAAATATGTTTACTCGGTTTTCAACATTTTGTTTGCACAAGTGAAAGCATATTATAAAATATTAATAGGTACATATATAGAACACGAGTACTTAAAAATCGGTGAAAAATAACGTTTTTAGTAGAAATGTTTGGTTTTTGTATAGTGTTTGTGATTGCTCCACGCAAATATAGAATATTTTTCTGTATACGAGTCAAACGTTAGATATATTTTCGTTGAAAGTGACGATACTCAGTGACGAATACTTAAATTATGCATGCATAATGCATATAGTATTATTTATCGCAGGTTTGGTTTAAAAATATTTATTTCGACCTCCGACGTGCTAGTAGACACCACCGTAGAATAAAAAAGGAAATATTATAATGCAATTTTCGAGATGCTAAATTGTAGCGATAATACAATTTAAAAAAAAATATCGTAAAACAAGATAAGAGAAAATGTCAACCGAGAATCGAAAAAAAATGAATAAATGTCAATTTATTCAGATAAGAAAAAAAATGTTCCCAACTTCAATGACACAATAATATTATCAAAAGCAATATTAGCTCTTACGGATCAATATAATCTTATAAATTATAATAACATTAATAATTGATATAATATATGTTTTGAAGCTAGAATTGTGTACTAAAAAAAATCTGATAAGATCAAGTTTACGTAAGTGATTATTGATTAGCTTATTAATCATAATATTCGTTCCTACGCGATTTACGTCACCGAAAAATTAGATTTTAAAAAGAAACATGTTAAACTTGCACGACCTGATGTAGTCTTTTCGTGTTTTACATTATCATTATTGGTATATACATTTTGATTAAAAAAAAAAAACCAAATGAACATACTTCGCACGATAGATGAGCCACTGTTTAGGTAAGAAGTTGGGAAGGTAAAAAAGACATTTAATATATATCTGTATGCAAAAATCAATCACTGCTAATTGAAAACGATTCTGAGGGAGTTCGGTTACACATATTTTAAAAGACCGTAATATTTATGATTTGAAAATAATACACTTTGTAAATTTTCCTGTTTTTTCCACGGTTTTCCCATTTATTATTAAAACCCCTGGAAAAGTCATCAGGAAAAATGGTCTCCCTTAAGTACCACCTTAGTCAGATTTCTTTTCGGAAAAAGTGCCACACTTGGAAATCGGAGCAAAATTTCTGGTATAGAAGTTATTCACAGAAAAAAAATACAGAAATAAATATCGTTGTAAAACCAATACATTCTTTTCTCCGGTTAGAATCTAAAACAGGTTGTTTGCAGTTTTTCGCAATTTTTAGATAATATTATCACTGCAAATAATAGAATTACAATTTTCTACGAACGTTTATAAAATAATCTATCAAAGAACTATATTGATACACCATTTCGTATTACTATAGTTGGTTAGGAGTTTTTACCTGAGACATACTTTTTCAGCAATAATTTATGTCCATATAGTTTATTATTTAACTTGGCTCGAATACCAAAATCGTAATAATCACGGACAATTGAAAAATTCACAACCTAATTAAAAATTGTTATTTTTTTTTTAGAAATTTTGTGCGAAATATTAATTGCTCAGGTTTCCACTATATTAGTTTAGTATAATCTATTCGAATCTATAACATTTAGATATTTGATTACCGTAATATTACAACTCTAAAATAGGTTATCTGTACTTCGAATAAATCTGTAATCAAAAATTAATAATAAATTTTATTCAATGACAAATTAATGTAACTGTTTTATTTACATAAACTTTACATGACCTTAAACTATTCAATTCACTGACCACATTTGTACTAACCCATTACCTAACATTAATTTTATAAACTATTCGTCAAATATATTAATACTTATTATTTTCTATACGCTTTAAATGAAAATCTAAAATATATTCTCCAAAAATGTTCATTATTATTTTAAAAAAATTTTGTTTATATTAACATGTAGGAGATAGTTTAAAATTAATTGCGTTCTATCGTCTATACTTGATTTATTATGTCGATAAAAAAAAAAATCAAATCGTATCTAGTCTTCTTCTGATAACACAATATCGGTCGGTTTTCATTTTGGCACAAGACAAAATGGATAATAGCAAATAGTATAATAGTATAATATTTACAGAATCGAAACAAATGGCGAGGAAAAACATTAGCTTAAAAATATGTTTAAAAATTATTGTAATTTGTCTCTTTTTTCATGATCGTCCGTGGCCAACTTAAGAGAACGTAACAGTTGCATTTAGCGTCCCTGTTTTTCTAACGGGCAGTATATGTTTAGCAAAAATTTGTTTTCGGTGTTGCAATGGTAATTACTGATTTAATATATTTCAAACAAAAAATTATTGCATAATCAGCTTCTAAAGGCTAAGCCTTGTAGTTGTAGCCAATCCCTTCTGCAATCCCATTCACTGCTCTGTTCAGGTCTGTGTTAGAAGTGAAATTGAGGACCCAACATTTACTATATTTTTATAAAGAACTTTTTTGATGTTCTAGATATTACTTTAAATTTTAGAAACCAATTTTTTTTTTTAATCTTAATGTTTATGTAATATATATAGATTATAGGTAAATAGCGATATGACATAGCAAATTATATCGTTTTTAATTTGATAAAACGGTTTTTGTTTCATGCATTTTAAAGTCAGAGTATACTCTTGGAACTCCAAAAACACATTATTTTTATAGCGCTTGTCTCGTTAGATAGATATGGTAAATAACACTGTGACGTCAGCTTACAAATCACGAATAATTAACAAAGCTTTTATTTTAAGACGTTATATAGATGATCCTTTATACATTCCATGTACAGTGGCGTACTGAAAAGAGAACCATGGGATGTCCCTCCCTAGTCCGATAACAGTATTTTTCGAAATAGTTTTGTCATAATTATTTAACATTTATGTTACTATACAGTCTTTATAGTATATGTGATGTATAATTTTAGATTCCGAACGAAATTTATTGGTTTTTCAATGTCATGTGTTTTTTTCTATCAGTTAACAATTTTTTTTATCAGAAATCTTCAATAATAATAAATTTAATAAAAAAATAAATCTTCGTAAATCGACAAGAAATCTTTATTGCAGCAAATTTTGTCAAGTTTGTGTATTAAAAACTTTTGGAGAATATAAAATTTATCATGTACTATAAAATATCAGTAGCCGAAATTCAAATCAGAGTTTATATAAAGTTCAAATCTTGGTAAAAATCATAAAATCACATCATTTCGGGTACTATTTTTCAATTAATGTAAATTCAAATTTTTTGGATCCATACAAATGCTAAACAATTTGACACCAAATAGTACGGATAAATATGATTTATTTTATAGTTAGATACAAATAAGTAACACCATTTTCAGTTCATTAAGCTTATTAAAACATAATTAACTGAATTTTGCTCAAAAACGTTTTTTGTTAGTAATGATTTGTAACCGTTGCGTATAGATACAAATTAATTTACCCAATATATAATATTTATATATCTTCTCAACTTCCTAAAAAAGGGGATTAAGAGGACACCGATATCTACTGTCTCCATCTTACAAACGCGAGACATAGTAAATTTACGTACAGTAGGACACATTTTGTTCCGTTAGTTTTAATATTAAAGCGTATTAACCTATTATCAAACTTAAAGGTAAACAAATCATATATACCCTGACGTTGATGATTTTTCGATATTTTTATTTTTAAATAAGCTATGAGTATGTCAAATAAATTTTAAAATTTTAAAATGATTATATCTTTCTTAAAATTTAAAATATCGAAAAAAAAAAAATCTAGAGTACATATTATAATCTTCTTGGTAATAAGTTAATTCGCTTTAATATTAAAATTAACGGCACGAAATGTGTCCTACTCTACGTAAATTTGCTATGTCTCGCGTTTGTAAGACGGAGACAGTAGATGCTAGTGTGGCCGCCACACTAACATCTACTGTGGCGTCCTCTTAAACATAATGAGCAGTATATCTTGTACGAAGAGTGTAGCAACGATGGTCAAAACACTCACAGTTTCCTGGCGTTTATTTTTCACCTTCCCCTCTTCCATTGATAATCTTAACTACGCTACTAATACGCTGTAATAATTATTACCTTTGATTAAAGGAAACTCGACGTATTTGTAATACTTATCACTTATTTTATATACGAATGAAATATGTATAAGACCAAGTATTTGCTTACTGCTTATAAGTTACAAGTTATAAGTACAGGTACTTATTTCTATCTAAAGAAAAGAACCGATCGTCACTCATGACTATACCGTTTAAATGTCAAGGTACCTTGATCGACACGACGACAACGTCAACGCTGTTTTTGGACAAAAAGTACTGTTATTGTCGATTTCTGCAGTTTCGGACGTTCGTAAAGCACGTGCGTTTTATCTCGAAGAGCGTGACTTTTCAGAGATGTTTTACCGCGTCAGATTCTATATTTACTCGAGACACGTGTAGGTATATACAGGCAACAATACGATGGTGTACAACACGTAGTCGTAGTCAGGGCGAATATTATTAGCATATCGCACGACTATATAATATTCTCGACCTCCCGCGGGAGACCCGATCTCTTTGAGTACTGCGTCGTTCGTATACTAATGCTCAGCCGTTCAAGTTCACGTACGCGAGATTCGAAAAAGAGTACGCGTATATACATACAGTTATTATACAATTTATACATATATATATGTATATTCAGTCCCCGGACGTGCGCTGTCCCCCATCGTACACGCTGTATGCATGTAAATATTTATAAAGTAGTTAGGTATAGCTTAGACGATATACCTATATAAATAATATTATACGTTAAACGCATATAGATAGTGTACTTGTAGCGTTGTACCTACTTATCGGTAAAGTGTTATCGACAATATTGCTTGTGTACCCGATGTGACTTCTCGATACCGAATCGTCATAATCGTCAGAAACGATACAGTCTCGGAAATAATACACGGAAAAAAGCGTGGAAAAAAAAAACGAAAACAAAAACTACCTTCATCGGTCCCATACTAAAATTCCAGATACTACTGATATTTTTTTTTCGTTTCTTTCTTCTAGTCCGTGGACACGTTTTTTTCCTAGTAAACTTGCTCCGATTTTTACGTGTGGCAACTTTTCTGAAAGCTCTTGATGGTACTTCAGAAACGTCATTTTTTGATTTTTGACGCCATTTTTTAAATAAAAGCACTTAAGTGGGAAAAAACGTAGGAAAACGTACAATTTCACGATTTTATTATTTTATAAATACACGGACGACGTTTTCTACCAGAAAAAATACGTTTATTGTATGCAAGTTATATGTATTTTGTTTGCATATACGATATTATCGTACGTATATCATTGATTTATTAACTCGTCGATTTACAAAAAACTCTGTTTTATTATATTTATTATTATTATTATTATTATTATTGCCGGTCGGGTTGTGTGAAAAATTTAAAAATGTAACCTTTTTTCCGTTTCGCATTATACAAGATGATCAGGGGCAACAATCATTTCTTTGAATATTTCACCGGTTTTTTAGGGTTTATTACAACTCTGTAAATGTATATCATCGGATATTATGTATACTTTAAAGGAAAATTCGCATACAAATATTCCAATACATTTTTACTATCTGCACGTGCAATTTGGTTGCACGTATAAACGTTTTTCGTTCTGACTACCTATAGAAATCTATAAGAAATTTCTGTCTTACTTACGATCACAGTACGTTAATTTTATTTTATTTCATTTTCTCTACCCTTTTACATTTTTGAGTGGGCAACATGATGGCTATAAGTGTCCTCCTACGAATATTATTACACTTGAATCGATTTTGAGTTTAACTTCGTTTTCAATATTGACGTAACGTTTAGTTTTCTATTCTTATTCTCGATATATAGACTTGCGTTATAATAGCATTATTGCTCTTTTTTTTTTTTTTATTAACCACCCTTTACGTTCGCTTTTCATTCACGAATTGTCAATTTACCAGATCCGACGATTAACATGTTAAATACGGGTTTTAATCTATTTTCGAAAGTTAAAATACATATTATTACATTATTAAATGTCTTTTAAATAATTCAATTGTGTAGGTACGGGTACGGTTGAACCTCGATAACTAAATTCCTAACCTCTCTAATATGTCAGTCCCAATGTTTTAAATAAATTACTACTACGACCGCATAATATTTTTAATGCCGCCGTCGTATAGTTTTCATTGATGGATTAATGGTCGTAACTTTGGGAATTTTGAATATTTGATTTTAACTCCACCCTTTCTCCTTTTATTTCATTGATATGATAAAGTTATGTCGGTTGAGTTTAGTCTTGATAACACACACACTTCCATGCAACAATAGGGTTGAAAATTACGAAATAAGGGAGTTGTATTGGTTTTTTTAAATTTAAATCGAAATTTAGCAATTAGCACTAATATAGGAGTTTAATAATAATTATAATTATAATCCAAAATATTGTTTATACAAATATGACTACAGAATTTCTCGTAAATAAATTATACCAAGGAAAATAATAAAATATAAATAAATTTAATTATTTGCAATATCAATTTTTTTTGTATTTACTGAAATATATTTTCAAAGGAACACCAGGTACAATGAAATTTTTAATATGAAATTATTACAGAATATTAGATATTATTTTAAAAATATATTTTTATAAATATTATAATAGATCAACCGTTAACTTGTTATACATCAGATTTGTGTATTGTGAAGCTAAAAATTCTTAGGTGTTTTTATTATATGAAAACATTTTTACTTTGAAGAACGATTAAGAACTTTTAGTATACGGAGTTCTTTTAAGTGACTACAATTGATATTTAAAAAAGTATTTACTTTTTCAAATTTTTATTTTTTATAATAATTGAAACAAACACATTTAACCCGTTATACTAAAATGTATTCACCTTAATTTTTGAAGGGTGAAACGACTAGGTACCTGTGTTTAATTTTAAAAATGCCCTAAACAGATGGAGATAAATAAATTTCTATTTTCAAATTTTTGATTTTCAACGATTTTCTAATGTTCACAAGATAGTTTGGGTAAGGAAATAGTGTCTTTCGAAAAGGTCTTTAAAGTCAGTGTTATAGATAAAACTACAATTCATACAATTTTTGAAAAAAATCGCGTCAGAATTTTAAAATTCTTTAAATATTCAACTCAATATGAAGGTTCATAGAACTTTTTAATTATAATTGATAATTACAAAAACGCGAATTATGTTGTCTATACAAATATTGTCCCCAACAAATTGTACATATAAATATTCAAATTGCTTTATATCGGTACTTTTATGTCTAAAACCGATATTAAACGCTTTTTTTTTGTTAACACATTTTCACTACATTATCCGTGTTAGAAAAACAGAGACGACAAATTTAATTGTGACAACTTAATAAAAATACAATTTCGATACTGCTGATAGGTACTCCACAGTTTCAGGAGAAAAGTCGGAAAATAATTTAACTTATATCTGTACTCAATGATTAACCAGTACTAATGATAAACAATTCTGAACAGAGTATTAATAGTCGAATTTTTCTCTTTTTAACGATATAACCCAAAAAAACAACCAAAATTATGTAAACAGATTGATAGTATTTCTCATTCATTAAAAAAATTACAAGAAAAATAATACAAACCTTCTCAATATATCAACTAGATCAAAAATGTTATAAGTTCCTACAACGATTTCGATTGGAGTATGATTTCTAATAGAAAAGTTGTTTACGGACATAAAAATTACACACACATCATCTCGTTTCGTTCAAAATCTAAAACATAATTTATTCATTTTCCATACGCATCGCTCATTGTATAGTTCATTTATATTATGGGAATGTTCATTTCGATAAAGATAAATATTGATACGAATATGAATATGTATAAAATAAATAAACCTCCCGATGTTCGTACATACAATATTATACCGTATAGTGTACTAGCTATCCTATGTATTATAATTATACACAATATTATTATTTTATGCATGACGTTCATGGTGATGTATAAACGTAAACAATACATGAAAGTCGACGTATTATTTCAATTAAATAAATTCAATCAAATAACAACAAGGAAAACAACGACCAAAAGCTTTTCGCTTGGAAAAATTAATTGGCGAAGACCTTAAAAAGTGTTGCGAAAACAAAATAGTATATAATATGTCGGTCAACGTAGGAAATCGGACATCGTATTGCAATTCGTATTATATTAACTTGATCTGTGTTGCAATATCCGGGGGAGACTGTGCACGATGCCCGAATTTTTTGAGTAAAGTAGGAACATTTTTACATTGTTCAGACGTTGTGTACCGGGCATAAAATATTTTAAAAAGACGGACATACTTCGCACATAGGTTGGCCACTGTTGTATAAGTGCAAAGTTGGGAAGTTCGAAAGGAAATTCAATGTATATCTGTACGCAACGATTAACTATTGCTAACGAACTAAAAGGAGTTCGGATGATAGTGTTGCTTTATCAACAATATATATGTCATATTATGGTAAAATAGCTACACATTATATATTTTCTATAATGATATTTGTTTAATTGTAGCTTTTTTATTGTTTTCCCTGCGTTTTTTCCCGGTTTTCCCCATATATTATGAAATTTCGTCGAAAAATCAAAAAATGACCTTCTTAAAGTACCACCCCAGTTAGATTTCCTTTCAGAAAAAGTGCTCTAATTGAAAATCGGAGCAAAGTTGCTGGTAGAAAAGCTGTCCATAGAAAAAAAAATTAAATAAACGTCACTGTAAAACCAATTCATTCCGCGCTCCATTCAGAATATAAAATTAAATTACAAAATATTAATGATAATATTTCAATAAACTTAAAAACTAGTGTCAATATTTGTAAATTATGCGGCTATCCTTATAAATTATAAGTATACGTATTTTATAACTTACCTATAAAATATGTATGTAAACTAATGAACTAACTAATTAAAAGGTTGTTTCAAAATCTATTTTTCGCTAAATCATTTTTGTTAACTGTTTAATTTTCCATATCATTTATTATCATTGAAGAATATTTATATTATTAAAAGGATCTTTCTTATCTTATTGTTATCTTACTTTTATTCAGTGCATGTGTAAATTTTGTTTAACACGAGAATAAATTAAATATAATAATTATTATTAGGGCTATGGTGTTAATGTACCATTTATTCTACCAAAATATAAATTATTCAAACAACCTAAATATGTTCGAAAAATGTGCTTAAAATCTCGAAATATAATATTTAATGTTAATATTATTTATTTATTAAATTGCATGACATTACTTACAATGACCTGTTCTATTAAAAAACTATATAAAAAAAAAGATATTACAATATCTTAAAAATTACCATATACATTTGATCAATTAAATAAGACAAAATGTAATACTGTTTTATACAATTAAACGTGTACACAACGATCTAATAGATGACTGAACCACTATTACACACATTACTGCACATCACATGTCAACTTTTCAGGTATCAGAATTCAAATTAACGATTACTTCGATTGGATAGCTGGTATTTCAGTCAATAAATTGTTATATAGAAGAAAAGTTTCTGAATATAATAGTATATCTTGATTCCAAAACGGTCGAAATTTGTGGAGGAAAAAAACGGAATTATTATCAAAATATGCAGGTCTAGAGACGTGTATTTATGACGAAACGTATGAAAGTATTTAAAATCACTACAATTCTATTTAGTTAAAAATCATACGAGACGAATTTATCACTAATTATAGGTCCAATATTAGTCCAAAATTTAATTATTGCAAAAATGTATTGTATAAATAATACTTCGAGTCACAAAGTTTACAAAGTCTTTTCAAAAACAATATTGTTAAAAAATGTTTTCAAAAACCAACCGCTACCCTCTCCTCAAATGATAAAATAGTTTCACTACCAGTGGTCTGTAATCATGTGGTCATTATACATATGTATGTCCAGTCAATTCCAACCGTTTCGATTTTAGAGAATTCCTTATGTTGGATACATTGTTTAATTACACATTCCTTATTTATTCGTATTCACTAATTTCAGAGTTTAGCATAGGTCCAAATATATTTTCCTTTTGAAAATCGTCGATTTATGGAAATTATTATCATATTATTTTAAATACTTTTATTAACCGATAGAATTTCTTAAAACAAATTTGACTATAGGTAACTAATATAGGAGCTCGGTTATGTTTTTGAAAGTAAACTTGTATTAAATTAAATTTATAAAAACAAAATAATAATAATATCACGTTAAAGCATATCACAACATCTGGACGTTTGCAGAGAAAAGCGCCAACTATTTTCTTTATATTAAAATACAACGCTAAAGGCACTTTTTTCCCCCCTGACCTCTGTTTCAAACTTGCTTGTACATTATTATGTAGATACAGTAATCTTTGAACAAAATATATAACTATTCAAATCGACAAGTTCAAAAACTTAGACGTAATTTAATAATTAATACGCTCGCATCTCTTATACATTATGCATCGCAGCAAAGTAAAATATTATAAATATATTATATTATTATGTTATAATAATATATTTAATGAGCTATAAGTCTGAGGTCGTGATAATGCTGTAAGTACACCGCATATAGTGTATAGTCTTTAAAATGTTATTATTGCAATTTCAATTTTACACTAATCTCGTAAATTAATAATTACACATAATTTTAGAAATTATTTTTGTTGACGCGTCTAAACACTATGTTATAGGTATAACAGTATATAACTTCAAAAAATTCAGATAATAACAAATGATTGCTAAAACACGTTGTCTATTTCAGTTTGTAGAATCGGCTATTTGTAAACGTTTGACGCAATTATTTATATGCAATATTATTCTTTCGGTGTAGTAATATGACGTTTCGAATGTTTGTTTCTTAAGAATCAAAGATTTTAATCAAAATTTCCATCTTCTATACAAAATTATATTATATTTTATTATTAATATTATAATTTATTATAGGTATATAGCGAGTGTTCCACCCCCACAATGACATGGCACTTGAAATAACTTTTGTCAGTAAAACTCCTATAGTTTTAATATATTTTTCTTTTAATAAAAGAGTATACCCTTGCACTACAGTTAATATGTTTATATATGTATATATATATATATATATATTTTTTTTTTTTGGTGGGAAACTTAAAATTTAACTACAGTATAGATAACATCTAAAATGACACCGGGTGTAGTGACATATCGGGTGTAATGACCTTATACTGAAGGTAAATTCCATATTTAGAGTATGTACCAAATTGTATCAATTATTATGACGTCTGTATAATTAAAATACGGATGTTATAATGGTTATTTTTAATTATATTGGAAAAATATGTTATCTAAAATGACTGCATAAAACTGTATTTAATTTTAAAAATAATAAAAACAATTTGTTTTTACTTTTTTTTTTTGTATGTATTGAAATCACGATTTAGTGATAAAAATATAATACAGTTTATAAACGGTCTCTTTACTATATAACTTTTAAAAAAAATTCTAAATAATCATTTTAGAAAATGTGTAAGGATTGAAACTTTTGTTCAGTTATGGTCTTTAATTTGTTTACGTTTTGGCAAATGTGAATATTATTGTTGTTTATAATATATTATAACATTTAATCAGTAGTTAAGAGCTATTATTTTATGATATTAACTCATGGAAAAGGAAATCTTTGTCATTTGATGTGCTCGGACTGCTCATGAATGATGTATAGTAGATGAAAATTATGATTTTATATAATGTCATTAATTTTTTGTTTGGTTTTTTTTTCTCGACTTTGGCAGGGCTGAGATAACATTAGATTAATCGTGAAAATATATTTATATATAAACTGTCCCGCATGGCACCTTCCATCAGTGTCACCAAGATAAACCATTTAAACAAACAAAAATCAAGTGTAATCCGTTCTTGAGGAATTGAATTCCGGAATAAAAAACATAGTATAAATTATACCTTTTAAAATATTCTACCTCGCAGTGAAAGTCCTGTCGAAATAGACTTAGCTTTTTTCGAAATTAGCCCGGAGCCCGGACAGCCAAACACGGTAGCGGAATATTTTGATCCGGTGAAGACAATTTGATTCGTTTTGGAGACTTTTTGATCAGGTGAGACATTTTGATCCGTTTTACCATGGTGGCGTATTAACAAAAGTTCTACGTTTTCGACGTGTCCAAATACGCACAAAATGGATCAAAATATCCCCCAAACAAAAATCAAATCGAAATGTCACATAATCACCGACACTTCAAGTTTATTTATATTTGTATCTATGCATACATATTACATATGCATAAATAGTAAAAACTTCGTAGTTAAACAATACATACAAATCATTAATAATTAATCGTTTTACGACAGTAAATTTTAATGTAGGTAAGTACTCAAAATTAGTAATGATAGCAATTAATTTCTATGTCAAAGGTTTAAAATGAGGTCAAATATAATGTTAATATAATAGGTATACCTACGAGTATAAGAATACAATTTCTTGAAGGTAAACCATTATAAAATTGCGCACGTACAATCAAACATAAATGTGTATTCTAATCTATTATTATTCAATTATATGCTAATGTATTTTATAATATAAATATTAAAATATTACAAAAAGGATTAAAATAAAATGAATTAACTATTTAGCATTATATTATAATATCTAATAGATAGAGTAAATGGCAAAGACATCGACGATGCTAACGAAAACGTCTATACACAATAAACGTTAATAAACCTGTTATCATGATTGTTGCGTGCTAGGTTATAAAATGTTACATAATATTGTAGTAAAGCGAACAGAGATTTTGAAAAATGTCAACACGAAAAATCGACGACTGAATATTGAACAGTGTTAGGAAGAGCCGGCGGAGGAATGAATCGTAAAAAAGTAACAAATCGTCAAAGATACCTGTCAAATGAATCGTCGTATAAATTTAACTTTCAATCCCAATTACGAATTTAATTATACACATTAGTAAAGTGTAAATTTCGGTAAAATGAAAATTGTTTAGAATATTTTGATTGCGCAATTTTACACTTTTGAGTATACTTTATATTTTTACATTTAAAATAACATTATAAGTAGTAATTTTGTAAATTTTGTCTAGTTTGAATTCGGTAACTAAAATGCATTGAAAAAATAATAAAACGTGAATTTACTTTTATCAGAAACATATCTAGCTCACGTTTATGATAAAAATAATATTATAATTTTTTATATTATAATTATTCTCAAATTAAATACAATATATTCGAATATCTACTTTTCGTGAAAAATCACGATTACCCGTACCAAGAGACTGCAAAAAATATCTACCTAAAGTAGATACTTTACACATTTCGAATTCTCAATTATTCAACTCTTAAATATCATTAGTTATGTTACTCAAATAAATATCGTTACTTAATATTCGTAAACACAAATTGTTAACAAAAAAATCGTATCGTAGAAAGATACGGTTTTTTTTTTTTGTAATATTATGACTCGATAAAGTATAATATTATATCGATTGAACTTCTTTACTTCGGTGCAATTATCAAACTGAATGCATAATGTAAACGGGTGCTTTATAATATAGTTTATCTATAACAGAATATTGTTTAAATCAACAAGTTTTATATTCTACCTCATATTACACAGATAGCTACCTAACCGAATATTAAGTATAATTTTCTTATCAAAAAGCCGTGTGAGAAACACAAATAATGAAAATTATAAAATCGTGTTTTAACTTATTCGGTGTACAGAGCTCGTATACATTGTAAACAGGTTTTTTTAATTGGAAAACTCTTTGTGTACCTACCTATACTGCAGGTTAACACCAAAAGAGGCTAAAATACATAGTTATAGGTATCGTAAATCATGATATAAATAATTTTAAAAAGTTTTAGTGGGAATCTGAGGGTAATTCAAAAACAAACAATATACATAATATATAGGTAACATTTTTAAAAAATCGTTATTCTCAGTAGATGTCTGACGATACGTCAGTAAAATTATATTATATTATTATTCGAAACAAATGTTAACGATAATGTCGATCTTACGAGTGCAACAACAATATTACACTCATTGAAGTGTTCAATGTCATATTATTTACACACGAATGATATTCTAGTAAATTAATTATAACATTTCGTTTATTTTATCTGACAATGTAAATATAACTAAAATTATTAATTATTTTTTTTCCAATAAAACGATAATATTTTATCGAATTTTTTTCAAGATTGTAAACATAAATAAATAATAAAAATAACAAAATAATGTGATTTCAGGTACTAATTACTTGTTTAGGTTTAATAACTTCATAATATGCCTACTCAGTAATTTTTTTTGTAGCTAGAGGGGAGAATAGGGAGATATTATAATCGTATGTTTCCAATGACTTACAAAAAAAAATTCTTGTCATTTAGATTTTTCTGTCCTTTAAATTTAAATATTTGATGACCTTACAGTGAAATACAGAAAATAAAAATATGTTCAATAATAATTACAAAATACTGTGTAGTTAATTTGACAAATTTATCTTTTAAATTTTATAAGTTCTATTAAAGTTTCAAATATTATAACTCCTCTGTTTACGAAATTCTAAGAACACCACCTGCACGTACCAATAACACTATTATAAATAGGACAGAAATGCATTAAAAATCTTTACATATGCATGCAGATATGTGAAATAAAAATAACAAAATATGAAATAATGAAATATATTTTCAACATTTCAACACATTTCGATAAAAAATAAAAAAAATTTTTTTAAACCAACCAATAAAAATATGTAAATGCATAGAAATATAAGTCCTAATTCCAATACTGTTTAATAGAAAATAATTCGCTCGGTTCGCTTAGAATCTTAAAAAAAAAATTCTCTATCAATCATCTATTAATATATATATATGTATGCGTAATAGTTTAACTAATCCGCAATTACGAGAAAAGTTTACTTTCGGTAAGAAAATCTATAGGGAAATAAAACCCCGGTAATTAACTAATTGTGTTATTTCGATGGTGGTAAACGGGTTTCTGACGATGGTCGTATATAATTGAATACGACTTGTCGCGGGAAAATCGAATTTAATAATATAATGACGTTAACTGTTTTAATCAAAAGAGTTTCGAAATGCCTGTCGGAGATTATGAAATATAACGCGAAACCCGTCGGTTTCCGGAAGTAGAAATTAACGTTGAATTATTATCATATTTTTCGGTATAATTTTTCCGGTATACCTGCGCTTTGGTTTTGTCGAAGCCGTTGGTTCGGTCGCCTTGGCTGACCACCGTGTAACTATTTGACGGCATGGCTCGTGGGCTTGAAAATACGCTTTTACTCGTGTAGCTGACGGTCGACGCGAAAACTGTCCGCCTGGAAAATCCGCCCGTCTCTCGGGAAACTACCTGTTAGAACGGCTGTTGCGACGACGACACGGAGAACGGAAAACGAAACGTACGCGGAACGATAACAATAGTATACATATTTGACCGTAGAAAAAAAAAACTATGCAAATATTATTGTATAAAATAACGGTGAAATGGTCGTCTGTAGTTGGCCACGGAACGTTTATCGGCCGAATGTCAAGGCGCTCGTGGACTCGTCTAACGGTGATCGAGTACGCGATCGCTGCCGCCGCCGCCGCCGCCGCCGCTGCCGTGTAATAGGCATATATACATGTAGAGCTATAATATCTAATCTATTCGGGAAAGGGCAATAAAGAACCGGTGAGTAGTACTAGTCGAAAAAAAAAAATGTTTAAAAAAAAATCGAGAGAAAAAAACCAACGTATAATTTGCCGACACGCGCTCGCACACGTATATTATGTACACGGAGGGGGGGGGGCAAAGATCACTAGCACGGTGGTGTACAACTGCAGAGATGCGTGTACCTCGGGTACGGTGATATATACCGGCTGTGCAACGTCAGTTATGCAATAAATTATGGTTTTTGGTCGCCGATTTTTCCGTTTAACCTTTTTGTCAGAAACAATACCTAAATATAGCATACGTATACCTAAATATTGTGTACGGTTCTGGTGGCGCCAAACCCTGCAGCAGTCACCGGCGTTTTGGCGTTATGGAAACGATGATAATAGATGTATTATTAGTGTTAATGGTCCGTCCCGTTGAGTGGTTTTCCTCGTCGGGTGTATTATTAAGACACTGTACCACTGTTATAGACGTCCATAATAATAAATCGAACGACTATTTATATACAGTGTAATAAAAGCGTAGAAAAAACCGGTGCCTCTCACCCAGACCTCTCGGTCACCACACAGGGTCGTGTACCTAAACAATATAATATCATGTATTGCATTGTAAATAAATATTATGTTTGTCCAATGATGACAATAATAGACATCGTGAAATATAATGTACGTTCCACTTTTAAAAACATGCGAAAAAAAATACAAACTGTTGTAGGTGGGTAGTTTGGCAGGTGGGGTACATAAAATTATTTAATTTTTACCTGTAACCAATGATCAGCCATTACCCATTGCTGACGTAAAACGATTCGGAGAGAAGTTCGGTTATACACGTTTTAAAAAGTAGTTATATTTACGATTTTCGTCAAAATTTGGTTTTAAAATATTACATTTAATTTGTTTTTTTTTTCTTGTAAAATACGAAGTATAATGAACCTCCTATCAAATTGTCAAGCATTTATATTTTATCCACTTAAAGACTTTAAATTAATTTCTTCTTAAATTAAATTAATTAAACTAATTAATACTACACAAGAAAAATATCAAAAAAGACCACATTGTTTCAAATAAATAGCATTTTTCAGAAATCTTTCGTTTACAACTATAATTTAGTAAAATTAAGTGAAAATATTGGGGTACCTATATTGGGAATATTGGAAAACATTGGTAAGTACTGGATATATATTATAGATTACTTTTGGATTATTTTAGATTCGTTTCGCTATTGATTACTTATAAGTACCAAATCAGTAACGAAATATATTATAGTATACAATAGAAATATCTTGTTAGGAATATTACTGTTATTTTTTTTTAACTGAAATATTTACGATATAATTAATCAGATCATATATCAACCAATTTGTGATTAATCTTAGTTTGCTTGCAAACTAAACAAATACTATGCAAAATATTTTCTACATAATACATTATAATTTCATCTAGAAAGTAATTGGTGATTTATAATATTTATACGGTTTGCGTAATTTATTCGTAAAATACTTGGCATTAAATAAAATCAGAAATAACTTTTGCTATAACCAGCGGCAAAATTTTAGATCCTATGAAATTTTAAATTGCCGATATTATTAATATTAAACGTCTATACTCTATATAGAGTACATACTTGTAAGAAAACTTTGCCCGATCTTTGGGGAATTGGATAAAATATATATTTCACTTATTTTGGTATGACTGATCCTTTAATCTTATATTGCGTAAACTATAATATACACGCAACACAAGTTTACTGTATACTTTGCAAACACTGCAATGGCCTATACCGACGTTTAATAACTATATACAGGATATTTAATAAAAATATACCATTAACTGTTAAGATGATTAAAATACTGGATAGGTACCGATTTTTTTTTCTAAACCTAAAACAGTGCTTTTTAACCTTTATGGATCATGACCCCCTAATTTATTTTTCATATATGACAACCTCTTCAAAAATTTCTTTATAGAACATGAATACTACGGTAAAAAGTAAGCATGATACTTATGGTTTTCAGTAGCTCCCTAAATATCACTGACGATCTCTTTGTGGATTGCGAACCCCAGGTTGAAAACCACTAGTCAAACACATACTCTAGCACTCAACATAGTAATTTAGATCAATCTCCCCTTCAATCAGTCTGATCTATGTAGTGTCAGAGGCGTACCCAAAAGGGATATTTTAGTTTCATCCCCCCGCCCTCATAAATGTAGTAAACACTTCTGTAAATATGTGAGTAGATATATGACGTTATGTGAGTATAATTTTTATGGCTAATATTAGTGTTACATTACGCTGAATTTAAATCTATGTTCATAGTTATAAATCACTTCGGTCTTAATTCGGTCAAAGTTCGGTCTTAATTGCTTTGCTGTATATACAATGTTGGACTAGTATATCAAAAGCCCCTGGAAGATTTGTTTTAAAGGGCCTCATAGGCCTCAACCATTCAAAGGCTACAAAAATCAATGCGCAAAATCAGTGCGGTATTGCATGGGAAGTCGGTGTTATGAGCTGGTAATATTTTTAAAAATAATGGATTTCTTGGCGACATGTATCTATATATATGATTTTCAACGATAATTCAATTTTCGGTCATTTATGTATAAATTTACTCATTCACACAGTTATTAATAATAAACTATAATGTTTTATTATTTAACTACAGTTTGCAATAGTCAACTAAAGTCTAAAAGATGTTCATTTAATCTCTACACAAAAGACAATGAGTATTTAAATGAAGATATTTTATAAGTAATGGGGTTGGAGGAGCCCCCAGACACAAATACGACCAAGGGCACCAAACCAACTCTTTGCGTATAGGTTGGACAAGTAAAGAAATCTGATCTATTAAACTGTGAGAAAACCGCAAAGAAATCATTTTTCGGTTAATTCGTTAAAAAAACCCTATTATATTTATATAATAATTAACTGAATTATCCGGTATTTCCGGACTCGCCCTTATCAGTATCATATTCAATCAGCGTTGCCCGGTAATTCATCTTTAAAAAAAGGTTACCTTCTTGTCCGTGATAATCAAATTAATTAATAATAACACTATAAATAACCGTTTTTTTTTTCATCAGTGCCTCTTAGGTGACTAAAAATATTAATTTTTTCATATTAAAATATCAAAATTCAAGTGCGATACATCCTTTAGGGGTTAAATTTCGAGCTAAAAATAAGATAGCAACCGTTTCATTTTTAATGCCAAGTGCGCAGTTTCATTGAGATCGGAATAAAACTGTAGATTTATATAGCGAACATTCAGACAGACATACTTTCAAATTCATTTACGATTATAAGATATTGTATAATGTAGGTTTATAATATGTCGCCATGAAATTCGAGGTATAAAATAATTTCTACGCGGGAAACACGGGCACACAATCGAAAGTGGCATCTTGAGTTGGCAATGTCAATAATATTAAATAATTAAATTAATATTAAGCTTCATTAATCGAAATTTTAATTTTATTTATATACGGGCATACAAAGAAAATGTTAAATGTTTTTATAACGAAATACAAATAGGTATAAGTATAATATGTGATAATAATTATATAAGGATTTTAATTTAAAATACGTATGAACTCATCGGCAAGCCATGCATCACGGCATAAACATATATTGTTAAGTCATTCAAATATTATGAACAGTTATTATTAAAATTATACTGCTAAAAAAAAGCTAGACTTTTTTTTTAAATAAATGTTAAATCGAATACGTATAACTTTAATAACTGTTTACTAAATCCTACCAGTATTATAGATGCGAACGTTTGTTAAGATAGATGGATGTATGTTTGTTATCATTCCTCGCCCAAAATACTGAACAGATTGATTTGAAACTTTGGACGCCTATGGTTCTAGACCAGGAATAACACATAGAATCATTTTTTTCTCTCGTATTCAAGTCCTAAAAAGGGTAGAAGTCACATAGGGTTATTAGTATTTTTTAATATCAAAATCGAATTATTTTTATTTATTTTTGGATAAACTTATTTATGATATGGATAAAATGACAAAAAAACAACGGACGCTTCGCATCACGGGTTGGCGGATTTATATCTGTACGTAACAATTAATCATTACTTACAAATAACAACGATTGTTTGAAAAAGATTGAATTAACAAAAATTTATAATAAACAAAAAATAAATAAAAACGGTTAGGTACCAATAATAATTTTATTTTTCATCTTTTAATACCTACTTTTAACCCAAAACCCAATTTTTCTTCATGATCTCGAATATTAATGAGAATTTCAAAAATAATATTTCTAAATTACTAACTAGAGCCAAAATACTACAAAAAAGATACCTTGTCATATTTTGAGATTTCTAGTAGAAATTGTGTCCACAGTATAAAAAAAATGAAAAAAAAAAAAAAAAAAACATTATTGTAAAAGTAATACATTCCGAGGAGTGAGCTTCGTTCAGAATCTAATATTGTTACTTTTGTTGCGGGTAACGTCAAACAGAACGGATAGTCATATATATACAATTTGAGCGTTAGTTTTATCCAAACTAAATCAATATGACGATTTCATGATTAAATTAACATTTCATTGATTTTAGACTTTAGCTTATTCATACGTGTTTTCTCAGAAATCTCTTCTAGGGCGAGAAACCAGCTCAATAAGCAATAACATACAAACTTATAATAATTGGACACATAATCCTAAAATTATGTTTCAAACTTCACAATTAGTGAAAACATTTATCGTTAAAACAACGATGAAAAACATACATAATATGTACAAACTTCGACATGCAATAATTATATACTTAAATACATTCATAAGCTTTATTCGATTTAAAATTTATTTCTATTCGAATTACAATAACTAGTCCTACAGTAAACTTCCGGCAAATAAATAATTATAAATTCAATTG